TTAAGGTCTAGTGTAGCTTCAAAAATATTCAAGATGTAATACTTCCAAATTTTAGGGCTGAAAAATATGATTTTCTTTTGATTATAATTCTTCGTTCGTCTGTAGCTTGAAAGTTAACTTTATGCAAATTAAGAAGAGGTATGAGAGAATAAATAATCATGGTAAAGATCTCCCATTTCTCTGCTCAATTCATCAAGTCATCGAGGCCTCTCGGGGTAGCGTTGCTGCCATTTAACAAAAGATTTCTTATTAGCATCCATTGTTAACGCTACCACAATGGCCGCCATGCATTTGTCTTTTACCTCTCTTGGAAATGCTTGCAACCCATCAATAGTCAGCAGTAAGAAATGCTGGAATTCTATTTCCATATCAAAACGAAATGTGTCAAAGCGTAAATACATGTAATAATAGCTATAAGTATGCTATTGCATAGGCATTTTAAGAAAACTAATGATGATTTTGCAACATTAAAGTAATTCCAAGCACAAATTTGTACCGCGCATTTTTAAATATTACAGACACGCCACACGACTATTTTATAGGTCCCGGATTTTTTTTTTTTTTTTAACGGAATTTTTTTCTTTGCCTTGAAAAATGACCTTGAAAATACTTCTTTTCAAAAACGGTACTTGTGGACGGGCGAAAACGATTCAAAAGCGCTACATGTGGACGAGAATTTTTGAGGATGGAATGAAAACGAACTTCCTTTAAAAAAATATATTCGGATACTTGTGGACAGAGAATAGCTCGTATTTTGCACCTGTCTGCTCTCAGACTCGCGCACTTAATTTGAATTTGAATCATAGTGTCCTATTTTTACTGCAAACTTTATAAACGTTTATACCTGTCATATCAATTTTGAAGGATAAATAAATTTCAATCATCCTTAAGTTCACCTCTTCAAGAAATAGGTAGTTCAAATATATTTAAACCATGCAGTTCAGGTACGCATATAACTATATTCAAATTCAAATTCAAATTCGTTTTCACATTTATTTTTTAGAGAATACTGGAACCGCACTTCAATTTCCGAAGAAACAGTCTAGTTATCGAAACGGCTTGGTGAATGTTTGTTGTAACGGCATATCGGTTTCAGAAACGCAAGTTCTGAAACTCTGTTAATTAGTAATAGAAATTTTTTTGAGCTTCGAGTTGGTTAGTGAAGTAGCTGCAGTTCTACCACTTAGATCAGTCGCGGACACTTCTTTTAAAGTGGGGGGGGGACTACTCGAACCACGATAGACCGGTTTCAGAATGGCAATTTTCTACTTTGTCAAAGATGTAAAGCTCTATAATTAGTAATATGAATTATATTCATTCTGAAGCTGCTTAGTGAAGTAGTTAGACCATGGGAGACTCAAAATTTCGCTTTTCTTATGCTAAAAAGTGAAGACAAAAACTACCCAAACCAGAATGGAACAGAAAAGCAAGATTCTAGTAAGGAAAGAGGTTGGAATTTGACGTTTAGAACCTATTTGATGGCGTGGGAAAAAAAGCTATTTTATGTCTCGTTAAATAATTAAAGAGGGAAAACAATCGTAGGAATTGACAAACATGGTTTCCGCGACTACCATTGGCAGCTGGTCTCATAAGGTGAATATTCTAGTTCAGGAGACCTACCGAAAACAAGTTGGAAAATTGTTCTCTCGATTTTTCGCACGAAAGAATATCAACGTCGTTGAAAAAGTGTACAAAAATTAGGGGAGTTTCTAAACAAGAAAAGGAGAGTTTCTTTCATCGCCAGCAATGGCATGTGTGATCATATTGAAGGTATGTCCGTGGTTTCTTGAATATTAAAGTTACGAAGATTCTTTTAAAATCATTGACATCTCGATTCTTATTTTCAGTTGGTAATCATTCTTGGAGCATGGAATGTGAACTACGTATTTGCAAGTAAGAGATTTATTGACATAACAATTGACTTTTTGATAAAGTAAAGATATATAGCATAACTACAGATTATTGATCTTAATTTTCATGTCGGAATTATTCCGCCTTAGTAGATATACTTAAGCTCGACTTTTTAAGCTTCTTTTTGGGACGAAAATGAATTGACTTTCTGGGGGAAAAATTTGAGGTTTGTAAACTTAGAAGCCACAAAAGAAAAATATTGCAATTTTTCCTTTTTTTGTATAATAGTTCTCACAAAGAAAACACTAAGACTTCAAAATACCTAATATAAGCTAATAATCATTAGCTTCATCGTTTTTGCATAAAGCTAACTCTTAAGATGTACATGTAATCCGCTTAAAAACGGTTATGGCGATGTTATTTTACCAGTGAAAAATACAAAAAGGAAAAAAGTAGAGATACAGTAAAATAAAATAAAAATTAATTTTATGAAATGTCGGGGTCCCAAAAAATTTGAAAGACAGTCCTAAGTTTTCACTCAAATTTCATCCTTTCCCTTTTAGATTTAGGTTTAAATTTTTACAATTTTTAGTTTTGTTTGTGCATTCTTAGTCTTTTTTACTCCGTTATCAGTGATAATTAGGCAATTATTCAACTGAATATATACCCATTACTCTATAAAGGACCCTAATACACCATTAAAAACAATATATCCGTGCAACATTCGGTGCGAGGAGTTTTTACAAGAAAACTTTTCCCCAAAAATAATTCACTTCGGTTTTGACATTCATAACTTGTAGTTTAAAAAAATCCATGCTGCTTTTTTCTTCCAAAATTAAGAATTTTTTCGCATCTATTAAAATAAATGTCTTGTTTTTATTTATTTATTTTAAAACATATTTTTACATGCGTCATCGAAATGTTTCTGCAAATTCTACTATTTTCAGTTGTCCAAATGTATGATCCGATTATTATTGCGATCGTTTTTGCAGAAAGCTATTCATTAATCTCAGAAATTTAGGAGCAATAAAAGATTCGGTAAACTGCTTAAGTGGATCCTCTAATAGTTCATCTAACTTATAATGGCCGTTTATGGAAAGCCGCGCGAGTCCGCGCACGGCATGGTCCCGAAGAGGGCTCAAATTCGATTGTAAATTTGCTTCTGGAACTGCGGTGCATTGGGAATTGAATTTAAATGACTGAGGATTATAAATAGGAACCCTAGCATAGGATTTCTCCAAGGTTCATCACTGGGACTGGAGTTAAATTTAGCAACATTTCTGGCGGCTTGAATAGGTTAAGACCCCCTTAGGATAATTTATGTCAAATATTAGACTTTATTAAAATAAGTTAGTTAAAACAGCTGAGTTAATTGCTAGTCACCACCGCAAATACAGAAGTGGCACAGCTCAAAAGGGTCGAATTGAAAAAGCAATGTGAAGGTGCCTCTGGCAGCCGCTATACAGTCCGTGTATGATTTTAAAGAGGAATTCAAGAACGTTTTAGATTCAGCATGAAAAAGGATTACTCGTTTTCTCCGATTATATTTGACGATACACGCCGGAGGGGGGGGAGTACCGGGGATGCTCGTCGGAAATTTTCAGACCCCTAAAAGATACCGGAAGTCTTTAAAAAAGGGCGTGGCTGATCGTGCCGTGTAAATAGGCCTTAAGAGATACCAAAAAATGCTGATTTTCAAAAATTCGCATTTAACACCCTAAAAGATACCAAATCGCGAATTTTTACCCCTAAGAGATACGACGAGCATCCCCGGTACTTTTTTCCCGGAGTCCCCCCCCTCCTCCTCCCCCGGTCGATATACTTGCTGTATGCTGTATCAATGAAGTAACTACAAATTCGCTCAAGTTTTTATGAACTGAGTTTAAGTTTAGACAATTTTTAAACAAGCAAGTTTTAAATTCAAATTTGCACATTTTTCAATGAAGATCAATGTTTTTGACTAATTTGCTTACGAGCATGTCCATACGTTTTCTATCTTGTTATGTAACGTAGCTTCTCAATACTTTTAGTTATTCATATAATTTTTTCAAATGGAAGAACATAATGTTTTAGATCGCCTAATGTGAGTTCAAAGTTCGTTATTATTGAATGATGCGCGCTCTGATTGGTCAGTGAGTGTCGTTTTGAAATATTAATAAAATACGTCATAAGAAATTATGTCATACGACGTGAGTGCTCCCACATTTCCATAATGATGATATTCATGATTTCTTTATTTAGTCTAAATCTCCTTTTCCAAAACACAAAAAAAAAAAATTTGTGAGAAATTGAGTAGCTGCTTACTTTAAATTAAACTTTTTTTTCTAAAAAAAAAAACAACTTTTCCCTTCTCAGAGGAATTGTTGTGATGATATTAGCCGTTTTAAACTTCTTTTTGGGAGTAAAATAATCTGACTTTCTCTAACTTTGTAAGTTGTAAATGAATGGGTGAAAGACTGGGTCTAGTGGTTATTGCAGTGCATTGTTGACCTGTTTTAGGAGACTTGATAGTTTTCAAAATGGCATATACTTATTTCAATAAAGTTAGTCACCTGAAAAGCTACAAAGGTGAGACCGACAAGGATTATGGATAGATACATTTTACATGTTTCAACCGCTTGATAACTGTTGATGGACTTGAGATCTTCTACCAGTTACAAGTTAACCCCTCTGAGCATCCTCAACTGCTACAGTTTGTATCAAAAGCTTTACTTGTTGGATATAAAACATTTCCCCATGATTCTCAGCGATCACAGCTTTCTAGGTTTTTGGTGACTAACTTTATTGAAATAAGTATATATTCCGTCCCCTAAAATAATCCAAAAATGCACGGCAAATTCAATTCGACCCAACTCAAATTCTAACTCAATTAAATTGATCTGGTATATGCCTTGCCGTGATGCGACGGCTTTCGTGCGGCGAGCTTTTCACAGTTTGAAAACTGCTCTAATTTACCAACCTTTATCACAATAGTTTTTGCCAAGTTCCAGAAGTTGCCAAATTCCATCAGCTAATCGATCTCTGTTTGGCATAGTAACATCAATAGGCAGTTTACGTAACAGCAACTAGTGCTATGAAAGACGGTCTATTTGTAATTAAATATTAAAAGCATAGACGTGCAGGTTTATAATTCTGTTCATAATTTCTAAATAAGAATCAAAAATTGAAAATTTTGCGTTTCAAAACACAATACGAATTTGGACTAAGCCTACTCTACAGCATTGATAGCTCAGACATATCTTGTTTTTATACATTTCATAAACCGGTGTTTATCTTTATTACAATTTATTGCTATTTCGAAAAAGGCTGGCGAGGGTTTCATTACATGTTGCATGTTGCATCCTGCACGTTGCTTAGTAAGCTCCGACGAAGGACTAGCGTCCGAAACGTCAGCAAGTTTTTTCATCTTTTCACGGTGTATAGTTTACCTTTTTATCATTACTGTTTCATTAGAAACACCGACGCAGCTCACACTAGTTTTTAGCTAGTTATCTCTTCTTGATAAAACAAAGGTTTGTTTTTCATGTGAGGTCATAATGAAATCGGACAATTTCGCCCGTGCTTACGTCTTTGCTCCGTGATCTCTGCATAAGTAGAAGGTGGCGTGAACAATACTCCTGTTTCTAATTCTCTGTTGCTCAGAATTAGCCTCGATTTTTTGCCTGAGAATATTTCAAGAAGTGTTTTTATTGGTGAAGTCGTGCATTCTTTACTTTACCATTGGTATTTGTGAATATTTMAACACTGATATGAGGCTAACCCTGTGTAAATGAGTCTGTAATCAAAGAACACTCCATTCCAAATAAGCCTGAAGCGAGATTACGTTTTACCCCCGACTCTATACCATAATAGTTTTTAAAATTCTTTCATATTAAAATTTTTGATTCCTTAGAGAATACAGGAACAATAGTCATAATTAAAGAACAAAAGCAGTGTGAAAAGGATTATGGTATAGAGACGGGGGTAAAACGTCATATCGCTTCAAGCTTAATTGGAATGGAGTGTTCTGAAATATTGATAAAATACGTCATAA